CAGCGGCGCCGCAAACGTGGTGGGACCCTCCCTCTGCTTCGATGACGAGGTGTAAGCAGCACACGGGGGTCACGGGGCAGCCACAGCTGGGCTGGGCTTGAACAGGGCGTGCGTGTCCTCTGCCAAGCACACTGATGGCCATCACAGTGTATTTGTGGTTAAAAAATTGGAAATAATTTTCTGTCTGGGAGCATTTTGCTGTCTGCAGCCGCACGTTGCCCCATCACAGTTTCACTGGCACCAGCATCTCCAGGGCATCCTGCCCTCACCGGTGCTCTCGGCTTTCCTTTCCAGCCTCATGAGCAGCGTGAAAAACAACGTTGGCAGAGGCCTGAACATCGCGCTGGTGAACGGTGAGTCGGGCGAGCACAACCCCCCTCTCCCCATGGCCGGGGTTCCTTCCTCCCCCGGGGGGGACAGGCCACCAGGGACCCCAAGGTGGTGGCCAAGCAAAGCCTAGAGCCACGCCGGTGCGAACTCACGGTGCTCTGCTTTGAACTGTCCCCCTCCAGGAACAAGCGGGCAGCTCCTCAAAGCGGGCACGTTCGACATGTACTCCGGAGGTAAGCGCGGTGGCTTTGCGGCTGGTGGCTCCCAGCGGCACGGCTGGCTGCCGGCTGTTCAGGCTGCTCCTCCGGCACGTGTTTAATGACAAAGTCTAGGGGACTTTGACCAGGATTGCCAGCCGGGGCGGTGAAAGCTCAGCTTTCCCTGACAGCACTGAGCCTGGAGCCCTCGCAATGCAGCTGCATCCAATATTGGCTCCTCGCACCTTTTACATGTGTGTAATAGCCTAAAAGACATAATTCCACCAAACTGAATAAACCAGGGCACTTGAGACCCCAGAGAGGCCACTTCCTGAGATCGGTTAGTTACACTAATCCTGAGGTTTTGCAGATTTCAACTCAGTTTTGAATGCTGGCGGTGGCTGAGCAGCAGCTTGTTTCCCCGCTCTCGCAGGAGGATAACTGAGGAGCCCAGGGGCTGGCAGGAGAGATGTGGCCCCGGCCCCAGCGAGGCTGGGCACAGGGAGCAGAGCCTGGTGGCAGCAAGGACCATGTGCTTGGCGGCTTCAAACCGTCTTCCTAACAGCAAGAAGATGCCCTGAGCCGGGGCAGCACCCGCTCACAGCCCAGCTGGTCCTGACTTGCAGGATGCTGTAAATCCCACTGTTGCTGCAGGGTTCCGGCAGGACTCCTCAAAATCACACGCTAAAGACACCGCTACACTGCTTTTGATTTACCCTTTGCTGTCTGAGCCTTCCCCGGGGATCCATCACCCTTTCTGCTTTTTGGCTTTGCAAGCTGTTCTTGGTAACTCAGGAGAAACACCAATATCGTGAGATTTACAGATGAGTTTGTGAGCGAGATGCGAGGGGCGAGAGGCTCCGGGAAGGAGCCGGCAGTCGGCTCCTGTGCCACTAGATGGGGCGTCGGACTCAGCATCCCACGGATGCAGGATGAGGAATCATTCCCGCAATCCAGCCAAAGGCACGATAGCACAGCAGGCAGCTCTGCAGCCCAGGGGGTTAATTTCTTGCGTTGGGAAGTAAATTCGTGTAACTAGATTTCACAGTTAGCAAGCAAAGTTTAGGAGCAAATTCCACCCTGCAGTTGTACCGGCAGGAGGAAAGCACGAGCCCCGGGCACTGCGGGAGAGCCCAGCTGGGAGCAAGAGGTGGGGAATGAGCACCCGGGAGCCTGTCCTTCCCAAAGCCCATGACCCCCAGATCCTGGCCAGCACCAGCACAGCCAGGGTATCTCCCACCAGCCCAGAGGAGGTTCCCCCCACTGCCACACAGCAGTCCCTGCTAAATCCCTTCTGCTCTCCTTAATGCTCTTCTCTCCCAGACATTACCAAACTGGAAACCTTCCTCCAAGAGATCAAGCACGGCACCATCGTGCTGGCAGCCACCTACGATGACCCCGCCACAAAGTGAGTCTGGCCCCAGGAGCAACACCTGGTTCCCAAAAACCCGCAGCTGAGGGGAGCTGGAGGTGCTGCTGCCAGCAGCAGAGAGGGGACAGGAGGGGACACACCACACTAACGCCTTCTTACTCTCTCTCAGGATGAACGACAAAGTACGAGAACTTTTTGTGGAGCTGGGCAGCAGCCATGTGGGTGACCTGCGCTTCCGGGACAACTGGGTCTTCTTGGGAGCAAAGGGGCTGAAGAACAAGAGCCCCTTTGAGCAGGTACGTGGCCCTCCCCTGCCACCAGCTCCGGAGGCTCCCATCCTCTTCACAGCACCTCCTGAGCCACGTCTCACCTCCCTCTCTGCAGAAAACATGGGCTGGCAGTGTTATCCCCCACGTCAAGCCAAGCCACAAGTTTTGCCACATTGCAAGCTTGCACTGCGCCACCGATCTCCTCATTTATTTCCTCTCTCTTTCTTCTTCCTGCAGCACATCAAAAATGATCAGAAGACAAATAAATACGACGGCTGGCCTGAGCTGCTGGAGATGGAGGGCTGTGCCCCCAAGAAGATGGATTAGCACCAAGCCCCAGCCTGCCACAGAGGAGAGACCAGTCTCACGGGGACCCCAGCCCCATCACAGGGACCCCAGCCCCATCACAGGGACCCCAGCCC